CGTTATCATGATGTGTTCACATGTCATCTGTAAAATGTAGTTTTGGTGATAAACATGAATATTGCTCAACCGGGCGATTGAACGTAATTAACGGGGAAAAAGGGATTCGATGCAGACATCGAGCTGTTAGATCAGTCGAAAAAATTTAAGTTCATCGTAATTAAAAACGACGGTGCGACTCCGGTCTGTACTATTTCAACTTTTATGTACTTCTAGAAAAACTTAGCGCAAGAGAGACGTTTTTTTTTTAGGACGTTTTTCTGGCGTCTCGGTGTGGGCGGGGCCTAAATGGAATGCTTTTATGTAAAATGTCGTGTTGTGTTATAAACGCATCGGTGATTATTCTGTATTTATATTTCTGGTGATCGAGATATCTCAGCAACACCGTGAGCAAATTACTTTCACTTTATTCCGATGTGTTCACAAGTAATCTGTAAAATGTAGTGTTGCATGAATACAGATGTTTGAAGATGCTTTCACAACAACATAAATATTAGAGATGAGTTATGACCCGTTCACAGTCCTTAAAAATACAATCTTTTATTTCCTTATCATTTAAATTGTATTTTTATGAAGAAAAAAAGCACTAAATGACTATAACAAAGTAAAATGATAACATTTAGAATAGTTTTGATGGTTCACTGACTTCAGAGATGGTTGAAATGTTTTTTGTGACAATGGATCCTTGTAGACGTGCTGCTATAATCAAACCACAAAGGGATCCGTCTCTGTTAATATGGATCAATAATTAGTATCAGCGGCAAAAAAAGCGTGATCGTGGATCTCTGAAAGTTATTTGCTCCCTCTTCTCTTTTGTGCTGATCCGATCTGTGACTCTGATCCGTGAGTTTATTGATCCGTTGCTCCTCTAATGAGGAGATAACGTCTCAAAGAACCAGATAAGAGTTCAGATCCGTGTTTTATCCGCTCGGCTCAGACTCGGCGTGTCTTCAGTAGAGAGGGTGAGCGTTTCATTCCTGTGCTTATTTCCTCGGGGAAGGAAAGAAGAGACGAACTGTTCAGTTGAATTCAATCAACCAGTTTAATGGCTGATAGGAGTTCACGTGCAATAAAACAGCGACGCTTCCAATCAGCAGTAACTGAATCAATTGTCACCAAGTGAAATGTGCGTCTCCCTCCCGTCATTTAATGGCGTCTTGTCTGACTAATAAAGGATTTAATGCCCAGAAAATACTTTACAAATGTGTGAAATATTACATTTAACTTTGAGCACTCTGTTCCTCCTGATGAGGACAGTTTAACGTGTGACAACAGTAAAATATGATCGCGTATTAACATTGTTACAGATGTAGTTGAGCTCTGTAGACGCATATTGTAGCTTTATGTGAGAACAAACACAAGATCATTGGATGAGATCAAAAGTGTTTAAAAACAGCCCAAAATATGTATACAACATGACAAAAGCAACTAGAACGGTGCCCTCATTGAAGCGTATTTTTAACGTTGACTGTTGAACAGAAACAGTCCTGCTGTGTTTGTGTTCGGTTAGCCGTTAGCCCCGTTAGCTAAACAACAATGCGGGACTGCGCTGCCCGCCGGCTGCTAACGGCTAACTAGCCCTCTCTTCCTACCGACATAAGAAGACGTTGTAGTCGCCGCTCTGTACGGTATTTTATTTTTGCTAAATGAAACGTATACTTACAAACAAACAAAAACGTGTGAATAATTAAAAACCATAAGAGGTTCTTCAAGCATAAAGTAATACATGAGCACAACAAATATAAGGCTGTCGGGTCCGGCAGTATGCGAGATTAGCTGCGGACAGACGGACGGAGATGAGCACACATGTGCAACACATAATCTCCTGGGGGAGATGATAATAACTACAACTGTCATTATTTGTAGTTCTTTTTTGTTTCAGTGGAGCTGTGAGTGTGTCTTTGTGTTTGTAACAGGGAGGAGTGAGTGACGACGTGTCGCTGACGGCCTACATCACCGCCGCTCTGCTGGAGCTCAACGGCAACGCAACGGTCAGTCTGACTCCTTTTATTATATTAAATAAAAGACGGTCTTTTAGTGCATGAATGCATCATTTTTATTTATTCATTATCATGTTTTCGGGTTGTACTTCCGTCCAGTCTCTCAGGAACGCCTTGAGACAGACGTCCTCCTGCACTCGAGGATAAAATGATACGAATGCTTCCCTTTAGAAGTCACTGTGACCTTACAAAACACATTTTTGGCATAACTCAATAATTGTCTAACAGGATAAAATGATGAGGTGCTGACATGCTGGACAGACATGGATGTAAACGGCAACATGATGGTTGGCGGAGGCGGTGATTCTAACTCTAGACAGGAAGTCAGACTCAGAATTCCATTCGCTCAGATCACCATTGAGCAGATGTGATCGGTTGTCGTCTTGACTTCAGCGTGTGCTCCTTACTGTCTCTTCAGCTTTAAAGAGTTTGCCAAATAAAAGTTGCTTTTCATACAACTCTAATTTTTTGTAAGCCTGCAGAGAAACAATTGGTTCATTAACGGTTTCACTTATGAAGATTTCTCCACATTGACAGGACGCCGTGGTGCAGAACTGCCTGAACTGTCTCAAGGAAGCGGCGGCCGGCCAGCTGGACAACCTGTACACCACCGCCCTGCTGTCCTACACCTTCGCTCTGGCCGGAGACGTGGAGATGAAGAGCAAACTCATCACGTACCTGCATCAGAAGTCCAACACCCAGGGTGAGACGATTAAACTATCGGCAACGTCTGCACGTCTGGTCTGTTCAAACACTTCTTTGGCAGCTTCAGCACGAACATGAAACTAAAAAACTGCAACATTTTCTGTTTAGTTGCGAAAACAAATTGCAGTCGAAACTAAAATATTTGAAAAAATGAGAAGTTGAATTGATTTAAAAATGGAAGTGCAGACAGAGGTAGACGTTTCAGTTCAAAGGCAAGCATTGAATAAAGTTGAAGTGTCAATTTAAGATGTGGAAGTCCAAGCACTAAAAGGATTTGAAAAGTAGGCGATAAATTGTGCAGAACGTTTTAGTCGGAGGACTGAAAGATGTTCGTTGAAGTGCTGAAAGCAGTTGAAGTGAGTCGTGTATGAACGGTGGCCGTTTACGTTTTTGTAGACTTGAGGGTTAAAGAGTAAAGCATTGAACAGAGTTGACATTTCAACTACATTCATATTTATCTTCAACTGACATACAAGTGTTACAAGTAGCTGAACTTTGAGTTGAAGTGAAGACGCTGAAGTGTGTGTGCGCACTGTAAGCAGTTGAAGTGTCATTTAAAAGATCTTCTTCGACTGACAGTTCAACTGCTTTCAGACCTTACATTTCATGTCGTGAGTGAAAGCAGTTGAAGTGTCAGTAAGGGATGAAAGCACTTAAAAATGTTTATTTGTTTATGATCTCAATTTAATAGAGATGCCACTATAAGACCGAAATAAGTAAAGGAAACCATCAGCGAGAAGATTGAAGGGAAGAGATGAGAGAACCAGGACGGAGCGGCAGTAACATGAGGTGTTCTGATCTACAGGGAGTCTGGTGCTCAGAAACACGACCGCTTTAGTCCACAGGGACCAACAGAACCAACACAGCATTAACGTTAATGAGACGACACAATGGGTCTCTAGCTGAAAGATTTCACCAATGCATTTTTTTAATTTTCTGATATTGTCTTGCCTGTGCTTTCTTTGTTGTAATAGTAGTATGTTTATGAGGCTAGTGCTCAGTAGTGCTGCTCGCAGCGTTCTTGATATCAGCCCGTCGCTCGTTAACTCCGAGGAAGTGAAGAGACGCGCTCTGCTGCACAGGGACCTGCTAATTATACTTTATTAATGTTGAACGTGAGCAGCACACTCACAAAGTGAAGGACTCTCGATGTGCCGAGGAGAGACGCACGGTTCCCTGTTTCATACTTAAATGGTATCTTTGACCTTGTTGTCTTAAAAAGGTTTGTATGAGGTTCATAGCTTCCATGATGAAATGTAAAGTCAAATATAAAAGCAACCGCTGTGACACACTGTAGATCTTCAGTGCACAGAGTGAGTCGTCTCTAACCTTGTAACCGGCAGGTGGCACTCGTCATTGGAACAGAGCCGGGGCTTCTGGGAAAGGCCTGGACTCTTTGGAGGTGGAGATGATGTCCTACGTGCTGCTGGCGCTGCTCTCCGGTCCGGTTCTGCCAGACTTCGGGTTGGATTACTCCTCCGGCATCGTCCGCTGGCTCGCCCAGCAGCAGAACCCGTACGGGGGCTTCTCTTCCACACAGGTGGGACGGATCACACACAGGGTTAAATCTCAAACAGTGTGTGGGGGGGGTTAAAGGCATCCCATAAACCACCTCTCTGCTCCTCAGGACACCGTGGTGGCCCTCCAGGCTCTGGCGAAGTACGGCGCCGCCACCTACAGTGCAGAGGGCAGCACCACGGTGACGGTGACGTCGTCGGGAGGCCTGGACAAAGAGTTCACGGTGGATCAGAGCAACCGGCTGCTGTACCAGGAGGAGACGCTGAGCGAGGTCCCCGGAGAGTACGCCGTCCGAGCCCGGGGACAGAGCTGTGTGCTGGCTCAGGTACGCTCGGACATGAAGGCTGAGGGAGAGGTTCAAGGTGCTGTGAACGAGAGCCCAACTGATCGCTTCCTTCTGATTATTGTGTGAGAAAAAGAAAAGAATCAACATTTCTTTATTATTCTCGTATGTAAACAAAGTCTTTCTTGAGCAGCAACACAAGAAGTTCTAGAATTCTTAAAAGACATTCTCATCTAATCAGTGATCTCAGCGACCGTCTCTGTGATGATCCTGTTCTTGTGATCAAACTCCGTATGACATCACTAACGTATGACGTCACTAAAGTACGACATCACTTACGTATGACGTCACCCCCGTTACCTGCCGTGGACGAGAACTCTTTCATTCTTCCGGCACTATTTCGTTATAGTATCGTTTTTATTTTTAGCCTTTATTCAAACTAATATTAACAGCTGCTGATATCTGTTGATCCGTTATGAATGAATGTTTGACGTCCGTCCATAGATCTCGATGCATTACAACGTTCCTCCTCCTCCAGACTTCTCCGCCTTCAACGTCTCTACGGACATTATGGCCAAATGCAACGTCAGCCGGCCTCAGCTCATCCTCTTTGTGCACGTCAGGTGTGTGTGAGTGTGTGTGTGTGTGTGTGTGTGTGTGTGTGTGGCTCTGAGAGGCAAGTGAGAAAGAATTGTTGTTAATTTTCCTGTTTTTGTCATGTTTTGTTCCAGGTGAGTTTTGATTTACATAACTTACAATATATAAATATATAACTATAGAACTGGTGTTTAGAGCGCATGGAGATATAAAAATAAGTCTTCACCTATTTTGATGGATAAAAACACAATAAAAAGTAACCAACATCAAAAGAAAAGATTTAAAAATGGACAACTAGAACTGGTTTTTACATTTTCCCCTCAGGGCTTCCGTAGCCGACGTGTGCTTTATTTTATTCCTGGATCATGTTTCATTGTTGACTTTAAATATTTTCATTGAGAAGCTTTAGTTGACTTCATCGCAGCTCTAGGTTGAACTATGATTTACAGTATTTCTTTGTTAACATTCTGGACTTCAGCGAGGATTCTACTGGATGAGGAACCGTGTTCTAATATAACAGAAGAACATCGTGTTTCAATTATGATGTTGGGATTAAAGAACGGCTTTGAGTTATTGTTGCACCAACTACAACTCATTGTTACAAACGTCTTGACACAGTTTTATAAATGATGAATTTAAATTAAAACTAAACCCGAATCTCAATGAAGCCGTTTCAGATACTTGAGAAGAGACAAACATCCGAACATTCTGTGCTGGCAACAAGAACAGCAATATATATAATATATATATATATATTCAATATTGTGATATATTCACGCAGTGTGTGTGTGTGTGTGCGTGCAGGTACCAGGGCAGGAGGGAGGAAACCAACATGGTCATCATCAACATCAAACTGCTGTCTGGATACATTCTGGATAAAAGCTCCCTGAAGCTGGTCCGTTCTCACAGCAGCCAGGAAACAAACAGAACTTTAATACCTACAGACTGATAGATATCTTTGAATACTACTTCATGTGTTGTTTTCTGAAGGCAGCGTGCTTTGTGTGTTTTGTAGCTGAAGAGCGACCGCTCGGTGAAGCGCGTGGACGTGGAGGAAGGATTCCTCAACATCTACTTAGACGGGGTACGAAGCACAAACACCTTAAGTCATGAACATCAGTGCAGCCGTTACTTCCTGTTGTAAGTCAGTAAATAGTGACGGATAAAGATCATTTGATTGGTTTGTTTGTGGTTGCAGCTGAAGAAGGATGAGACAAAGATCCACAGTGTGACACTAGAGGAAGACGTTGCCGTCAGGAACCTGAAACCAGCTGTGGTCAAAGTCTACGACTACTACCAGACCAGTAAGAGCTTCAGTGTTCTTCTCTTTATCTCACCATCCGTCAAGTCTCTGGGTGGAGTTCTGTGGGGGGTACCGGGTCGTTGCTATTGACCATCGGATCCTTGTGACGATCTCCGGAGGGTGTTGACGTCGCTAATTCCGTTTGTGAATATCATAGACTGGATCTCAAGGAACAGCTGGGGTGGAGGAGTCTCTGGTTTGGGGACCTCAGAATTGCGTTTCTTTGCAGATGATGTGGTTCTGTTGCTTTCATGCTACCGGGACCTTCAGCTCACTCTGCAGCCGAGTGTGAAGGTGTTGGGGTGATAGTCTGAGGCCAGAGTTCTACGCTAGAAAATCTGGATTTAAGTGTGAAAAGTTTGCTCCGAACAAACTTTAACTGTGCATTGATGAGTCCGTGGCGCTGTCCGTGGTGCTGAAACAGCAGACGGAGTTGAAACTGCGACTATCTCCCCACCTTTCAGTCCGTGTTGGATCTATAATATTTAAACTCGATGACTTGGCCGTTCGTTGGTCCTGGGTGAATCCATCGTGTTTCCTCTGCTGTCCGTCTGACGTGTTTGGTTTTGTTTTCAGGTGACGAGGCGCTCACTGACTACACATCCCCCTGTGCAGAGCGTAAGTCACATTTTATTTTTCTCCAGTGCAACGTCTTTTCAAAGGTCAAATGACGCTATGTGGTACTACTCACGAGGACAGTTCAGACCCGTCTACACACTTCCAGGTATTTTTGAGTGAGAGTGTGTCGGTAGTTTAAAGGTTAATAACTGAACGTGTTTTCCTTCCAGACGACAACGTCAACGAGCTGTGAACTCCACGATGAATCTCCGCCGGGACGTCTTTCCCTCGGAAGAAAGAAACTTCTTTTCTTAGACCGTTTTATTTTTCCAGCTGTGATTCTTTGTGGCTGAATTCCACTTTTAAGGACATTTTAACTTTTTCTTACTTTAGCTTCCTCGTTAGTAAAGAAGCAATAATCAGTCGGCATCATCATGTCAGGAGCTGCTGCCTCTCAACACTGGAACCTTCACCTCATAAAGAAGACGACATTCTGTAACGGTTCTGCTTTCTTTTAATAGATTTGACAAAATCCATATTATTCATACAGGGAACCAATAACACAGTACGGTCCGAGTATTGTGTGAGTGTGTGTGTGAGAAACAGGATCTACTTTCTAGAAATAAAAACACGTGTGTGTGTGTGTGTGTGTGTGTGTGTGTGTGTGTGTGTGTGTGTTCTGCTGTACCAGTTTAAAAACAAAGGTAGATCGATACATCACTACCGTACACTTTCAAATGTAACGACTGACAATAAAATTTCTAAAATGACAAAAATAAGTAGAAATTGTACTTCTCTTTAATACAACAGTTTCATTTCAATAGCACGATTATTCATTTTTCATTCAGGCATCGTCCTCTTTACAGAATATGTAGTTTCCTTTCTTTAACATCGATCACGTCTACTGATCAGCAGCGTGATGAACAGCCTCGCCGAGTCGTTTGGTTTGAACACGTTAACTGCGGGGAGTGAAGGCGAGGGACAGAATATATTAAGGGCTCTTCACTAGTTATAAGAAGTAAACGTGTCACTATCTCAGGCACCACAACCATGAATTATTATTACTACCATTACTGTTCCACATGCTCAGAACATCACAGCGTCGTTTGTCCTCCGCTTCGCTCCTCAGGCCTCGGCTCACAGTGGGGATTCAGAGACGTATGAAATTCAGTTTAGTAAACAGACTTAAGTAATAAGGCAAACTACAATCAAATATTTATATATATTATACCAAATTTCCAAAGAGTATAGCGTCGTATCACCATTTATTTTTACATCTAAGCCGTCAGGAAAGACGGGAATTTACGTATTTACGCTATTCTGAGTGTCGATGGAGCAGCTACGATGTTAGCGTAGCATAGCACCGATCGATCCGAACTCCACTCAGAACATTTTAAAAGCTGTTTGTCGCCTTGCAGCCAAAACTAACCAAACAAATTCTGACTTTCTACAAATCTGTATTATGTTAATTCTGCATCCTTTTTATCTCTTTCTTGCCGTTACATTACAGCAAAATCAGGTTATTTTGTGTTGACACAGCTTTAGTGCGGCTCGGTAGATCAGGCTGATCCCCACTGTGCTCAGCGCCTCATCACGTCCCGCAGTGGACGCCTGGTTCTCAGGTGAACTCAGTGAAATGCATTGATAGGATTGAAGCCTTTCCAGTGAGGCTGCGCTGGACTCACACAGACAACACGTGAAGGCACAGCACAGAATGGTCCATCCTGTGCTCGTGTGGTCTCTGCAGCGCCCTCTAGTGGTGGCTGCTTCAGGCTGGCAGTGACGGTGGCTGTAGTCACGTCTTCAAGTTAGCTAAAAGGCTACTTGGCTTTGTTTTCTTCCTGTTGATACGCGGTTTGAAACCTTGAGCTTCATACAGACACGGTGACACGCGTTCAACATATCCACAAGGACTGAGAATGTGGACGCTATGGTCAGACCAATAAACTGGGCTTTTGATTTTGGGAGTCAAGAACCGAGTGTTGATATCATCCTGTTGTTTTGCTAGCTTAGCCTAGCTTAGCACAAAGACTGGAAGAGGGACGCAAGGGATAAAGCCTTCGACATCTCCATTAATTCCTGATGTTGGAGACACAAAACTATTAAGATCGTTCATTTATATTTTCATGCAAAAGTATCTGATGATTCTGGGTTTAGAGGAGTATTTGAACCCCGTGTTGGTGGAACCACAGTGAGTCTGCAGAGTGACGTCCTGAGCGCTCGTGGGTACTTTGGTAAACGATGTGAATGTGATGTGACCCGGATGAAGCTCAGGAGAATAGTTTCAGTGTTGAAGGTGTAAGAGCAGCACTGAGGTGAACGTTGATGTGTTTCACTGTTACAGACACAGTGAGCTGCTTTCTGTCGCTTCTCTTAACACACATCTAGAACACATCTCTAAACTGTGGAACCCTCTGACACTCAAACAGAACATTGGCATTATGTCATTTGGCAATTTTCTCTATCAGTAAAAAACAAGAAAGTAAGGAAAGAAATAATACAAAAGGTTCAACAAACAGATCTCCATTTGGCAATATAGAAAGGCTTTTTAAAAGTCTTTGACAGGTATACATTTTGGTTTATATACAGGTGTGTGTGTGTGTGTGTGTGTGTGTCTCCTCCCTTTGTCAATCCAAACTGAATCACGTAGAAAATGTGGAGGTGAAAACATCTACACAGTAAAATCAAAGTGAGATTTAAAAAAAGAAAAGTAACAAACACGGCGCCGTGTGTCCGGGAACAGGAAACAGGAAACAGGAAACAGTCCCTGCCAAAAAAAACGAATCTGCTCATCACCTGCGTCTCTGATGTGATGTGATGCGTAACGCGTCCGTCAGTTCATGAACTGTGTGTATCCCTCCGCCCCCGTGACGATCACGTCCATCCAGATCCTCATGGCGTCCGCGGCGGGGGCCACCATGTAGTAGAGCCGGTCGTGGGTCTTCACGCAGAAGGTCAGCGAGGGGTTCGGGCTCTGGAGGGAACAGAGAGAAACGCTAGAATCTAGACCTGCAACAGTGCAGCTGCTTCCCAACAAAGACATCAATGATATTAATAATATGAATGCATCCTCAGCTAAAGGACGTCTGAATAAAAGATGTTCTCTACACCGCATGATGGAAACGTAATGGTACTTTTTAGCATTTTATATTTCTCGTGCAAAGAAAGGAGAATAAATATCATTTATGTTTCAATCTTCAGGCTCAACTCGTTTAAAAAGATCAGAAATCTTTGATGGAGAGAAACGTTTTTCAGGATTCTAAGAACACGTTCAGCTCTTTATTATTTACCTCTGAACATAGAAGATGAACATGAGCAGCACAAACTGCCGTCAGTTCAGCCCTAAAAACCTGCAGCGTCAGCATTAGGAAATCTAACATAGAAATACTGGAACGGTCAATGAACGTGTGCGTCAGAAACAAGCATCAAACTGCTCACAAGTCATGAAAAACTAAACTTTAACGTCTGTTTTCTCCACGAGAGTGTTTGGAGGTAAAACCGACCGACGGTCCAATTTATTTGCTGCTCGCGCGTTAAACTCGTCTGCATCACTTCTCCTCTGAAGCGCCGCCTCACAACTCAATCTGACTTTTAACCTTGTTTCTTTCCTGCTATGTGACATTGGAAGTGACGAGTAGAATCAAAGTTCCACAGTTGACCAGTAAGTCAGAGTGCAGCGCATCGCGACAGGCCATCTCTCACACACACACACACACACACACACACACACACACACACACACACACCTTTATGTCGGAGATAAAAAAACAAATGACAAGACGTGTGAGGCTCAACCGGAGCAGCACGGATCATAAAGACTCCTCTTAACAAACCGTGACCTCTGAACCCCAACGCAGTTTCATGATGTATGAAAGTCCTGCACCTCTACAGGAACATGTACAACTAGTGTAGTTACAACCAGCTAGAGGTAGAGAGGACTTACAGATACAGCTATAGATGCCATAAAGCATTTAAAGATTAGATTTCTTTGATAATTGATTTTACAAAAATTGGAAAACAATGGAATCTAAATATGTGAGAAATTAGATGGTGTGAAAAAATGTCAGAAAAAATGTGTTATAATCATTGAGCTATTTACACGTTTCTCCTTCTCTTCCCTCCTCCCTCCCCTCCTCTCCTCTCTCGCCCCTCTCCTCCTCCTTTTTCTGACGGAAGCGTTCGTCACACATGATGTGTTCAAGGACTGACGGAAAGATGATAATCTGACGACAATGATGTTTCTACGGCTTCTGGCTGATAAACGGTGAAGTTTTGGGGATTGTTTAAAGGAAACATGCTTTTCCATCCTGCCGGAGAGCTTTTGGGGTTCAGAGGGTTGAACACGAGTGAATCACAGGAAGTTCTCTCCTCACCTGGATTCAAACAAACATTAATGTAATCAGAGTGTTTGTTCTGCTACGAGCAGCGGACTGGTTCACACTGGGATGGAGAGAGGGATCAGGCAGGATTAGCATCTTAAACTACAGGAAGTGAAACAAGACATGCCCATGCATCAGGGCTTCTGTTGGGGGGGGGGGGGGGGGTTAGGAGAGGTTTAACTGGGAGGACTGGAGCGTGATACATACACTGGTCACGTTCAGGTTGAATAATCCCCTCTGTGACGGCAGCCGGAGCAAAAGAAAAAGCAAAAGCACAAAAAAAAGAGGAAGCAAAAAAAAAAAAGAGAGAATGTGCAGAAAGGAAGTTTAAAAAGAAGCAGATGATAAAATAAAGAGACGTGTGGAGCAGAAGGTTCTACCTTTGTGGCGCTGCGGAGGTGATCGTAGTAGACCTCCTCTATGGCCTGGAAGTAGATCACACCCTTCAGCTTGCTCTCATGTTTGTCTGTGTGGGAGGAGAGTCACGCTGGTTACACACAATATATATAAATACACACACACACACTTCACTTCCTGTCACCTGGGATAAGGACAGCAGGAACACACGACGCGCTCGTTAAAGGAAGAGAAACTAACTTTGATCATGACCAATCTGTGGTTTGAGTTGATGGATGAGAAAAGACAAGCGCAGCACTTTGTCCTCCTCCTCTCTGGTTCTGGGGCTCATTGTATTCCTTCAGACTCGACTACATTCTTACGCTGCTCTGGTACATCGTTGCAGTTTGTTTCATCAGCCTCTGCAGAACTGCAGTGAGGAGGAACTCTCTCTCTCTCTCTCTACCTCCGGGCACAACACTCCCACAAAGACAACTTAAAGAGTCGTAGGTAGGGAAACGCAGCGCTTCATTTCCAGGAACAACACTTTTACATTTATTCTTCTTGTTGTTAAACACGCAGCTATTATCTGCTAACGACCTCTTTAGCATTCAAATAGCCGAAGCATTCGCATCTCATTAGACTGCATCTAAATAAAGAGAAACAGCCGTCTGCTGGGTGATTAGAGCGAATTAACTCCCGTCGCTCAGGGTCAAGAGACGAGGACGAGCGGTTGCATCTTGATCAGAGAGAGAGAGAGGGAGAGAGAGAGACAGAGAGAGACAGAGGGAGAGGGAGAGGGAGAGAGGGAGAGGGAGAGAGAGAGAGACAGAGAGAGAGACAGACAGCGGTGCTTTTTAACTAACTGCAGCAGTAATCTGGATACACCTCCTCACACCCGGCTGCTCTCAGCGGTACGCTTTAAGCAGCTTTAAGCAGCTTCCAGCAGAACCTTCATGAGGGCTTCAAAGAGTCTCAGAGCTCCAGAGCAGCCGGTCACACTCCGCCTGTCACTCACCCGCTCTACATGTTCAGGGTTTCACCCTCGCAACCCCACAAACGCTTTCAGGGTCTCCCGTCACATTTTACTCTCTGTGGTCTTAATTCTCACTTCAAAATAAAAGAGCTTAACCTCTGTGGAAACAGAACCATCATGACTAGAAGCAGAGACTCAAACGTGTCTTTAGTGCAGAACAACAGTTAGAATGACATAAAACACAAAAAAATAAGAAAATAAAATTGGATTTCTTTGATGTATTTTACAAAAATTGTCAAACAATGAATCTATGTATTCAACATTTGGGCCAGATTTTAAATGAGAGACGAGAATAAAATGCTTTTGATGAAATATCACAATTTTAAGTTTTGATTTAGTTTCTTTTTCTTGACAGAAACGTTCGTCACACATGATGCGTTCAAGGAACATCGGAAAGAAAAAACTGATGATTATGACGGTTTGTACAGCTTCAGGTTGTGATAAACGGTGTAGTTTTGGTGATTGTTTAAACAAAACATCCCGCTGGAGGGTTTTTGGGGTTCAATTTACAACTATAACTTCTGATATTTCCTTTTACTGAAGAACGTTTAGCTAGAGATAACAGACAGTAAAATACAACACTCTAAAACCCTACTGTAGAATCTCCTAATGAAACACTCGCAGGAGGTTTTTTCTGCTTTGGTATTTATTCAACCTGGTTTTGGTATCTAATAAATAAATCTCTTCATTATTATTATTATTATTAAGTATAATAATGTTCTTAGAGCTCGTGTTAGGAAGTTAAACAGCTCATAATTCATCTCTAATATCTATTTTATATTAACGTGAAAACATCTCCTTCAAACTACTGGATTTATTCAAGTTTATCACCAAAACTACATTTTACAGATGACATGTGAACACATCATGATAAGGTTATAATGTACCTTCAGCTAGTACTCATGTTCACTGAGCAGAGCCTGAAGGCATCATAATGTAACTGAAGTGAACCTCCGTTGGTTAGCCGTTAGCGGTGCTGCTAACATTACTAGCTCTCCTGTTGGTTAGCCGTTAGCGGTG